AGAGAGAGAGAGAGAGAGAGAGAGAGAGAGAGAGAGAGAGAGAGAGAGAGAGAGAGAGAGAGAGAGAGAGAGAGAGAGAGAGACGACAGGCGGTGAACTACTTCGGTTTTCTATCAGCGGGTGAGCTAAGGAGGAGGAGGGGGGGTAGGAATATGACGTTGCTGAAGGCAGGAAGAAGCGGGATGGGAAAGGTGTAGAGGGGCATGGTGGCTTCATTTAGCTCTTGTGATTAAGTCGGGTTTTCTGTTTCTATTTCGCTTCACCAGATTCCTTGCTCCATATTTTCCCCTTTCATGTCTTCCTCTTGCACGTGTTTCTTCTGTTGTCTTCCTTAATGTCATCCTCTCTCAACATCGTCCTCCTCCTCCTCCTCCTCCTCCTCCTCCTTCTCAGCCTCTGCGTATGTCCAGTTCCATGTGGAAGCCGTGGAGGTTAATATCCTCCTCCTACCTCTAGGAGAGCACGAGAAAGGAAGGTAATGGAGAAACGATCATGATTCGAAGATAAAGATGGGTGGATGAAGAGGAGGGGGAGGAGAGATTAGATGAGTATGCTGATGAGGAGAGGGGGGAAGGGAAAGGATGAGGACGCTGATGTGACGAAGTTGGAGCGGAAAAGGGGGAGGAGGAGGCTATGTATGGTGATTTCGTTTCTCTTTCTCTTCATTGATGCCCATATTGCTTTCTGTTTTGTTTGCCATGGTCCCTCCTACTCCACGTCCTCTTTCTCTCTGTCATCCTTCTGCATTTCAGCTCCTCCACGTCATCTTTCTCCTCCTCTTCGTCCTTCTGCCTCGAATGCCAATATTGCTCAGCCGCCGGGAGAGTGTGGGAAAGGCCATCATCGTACTTGCACAGGGTTTAGGACGACGACAAGGTGTTTCATGTCTTCGTTCCTGCCTCTCCATTTCTTTCTTCTTTATGTGATCCTTCTCCTCCACATCGTCCTTCCCCTCAGCCTCGGGAAAGCGCAGGAAAGACCTCATCACACTTGCACTGAGGCTCGATGTCGTCCTTACATTCACCTCCTGCTGCAGATCCTGCT